AAAAAAAAAAAAAAAAAAAACCTTTCTTGTTAGTGCAAAGGTCAGTTTATATTCATTGTAAACATTTTTAGAAAGACAAGATAAACCAAGTTTTTATTTTATGACGATGATGACGATTTTTAGAGACAGGATCTTGCAAACTCTGTCACCCAGGCTGGAGTGCAGTGGTGCCATGGTAGCTCACTGCAGCTTCAAACTCAGATGATCCTCCTGCCACAGCCTCCCAAGTAGCTGGGACTACAGGCGAGCACAACCACACCTGGCTAATGATTTACTTTTGTAGAGATGGAGATCTTGCATGTTGCCCAGGCTGGTCTCAGGCTCCTGTTCTCAAGCGATCTTCCAGCACTGGGTTTACAGGTGCGACACACCACACCTGGCTTAAAACAACCTTTTGACTGTTGGCTCATTTCAGTGGAAGGTCAGGTATGATACCTTCATCGTCTCCTGTAAGTTTTCTCCTGATGGTAAATACGTGGTCTCAGGCTTCGACGTGGATCATGGAATCTGCATAATGGACGCTGAGAACATCACCACCGTTTCTGTCATCAAAGGTGAGGGTGTGCGGGCTCCCTGACTCTTCAGTCTGCCATAGGAATAGCCACTTGTCACTGACTGACAGTGACCTTCCATTGCTTTATTTGGTGAAACTGTAATGGTATGAAGCACATCATTAAAGCTGGGACACTAGGCTAGGTGCGGTGGCTGGGATGACACCTGTAATCCTAGCACTTTGAGAGGTTGCTTGAGCCTAGGAGTTTGAGACCAGCCTGGGCAACAGGGTGAAACCCTGTCCCTACCAAAAACAATACAAAAATTAGCCAGGTGTGATGGCGTGCACCTGTAGTCCCAGCTGCTTGGGAGGCTGAAGTGGGAGGATCACTTGAGCCCAGAGGTGGACGATGTAATGAGCTGAGATTGAGCCACTGGACTCCAGCCTGGGAGACAGAGTGAGACTCCATCTCAAACCAAAAAACAAAAAACACCCAAAACTGATCCTCTTCAGTTAATGCTTATCCATTCATTCAGTCTTGTGCTTTTAACAAATGACACAATGTTTGACTCCAACCTCATGTGGTCATTGAAGCCTAATCTTTTATTGAATAGAGGCTCAGCTTTCTTAACATTTTTACCTGTTTTTTTTTTTTTTTTTTTTTTTT